CACATGTGTCTGATGTCTATTTTGAAGGCCTGATGCAGCCATCATATTGAGAGCAGACTCCCGGGAACGGGAATGGCAGAAAGGAAATTTAGGAAAGAGCATCTCAGCAACTTAGTCCAGGATATTGATGACTTGGCCTGAGGTGAGGAAATGGAGCAGGATACCAGGCTACGGAGATCCAGATGTTTTCTGAAGATAAGCTGGGTCTTGACGCTAGATTGCACCGGAATGTGAGAACGAGGGATTGCCCTCAGAGGGGTTGGGTCTGCAGCTTAGTTAGCAGAATGCTTGCCTAGCACGCAGGAAGCCCTGGTTTTGATCCCCGGCATTGTATAAGACTGGGCGTGGTAGCACACACCTGTACTCGCAGCACTCAGGAGGTAGAGAATCAGAAGTTCAGAGTCTGTAGTTCAAGGCCAACCCCGGGCTACTACAGACCCTGTCTCAAGGTAGGTCAGGCTTCATGCCAAACTCCTTTAATCTGGGCACTTGGGAGGCAAAAGCAGGAGGATCTTTGTAAGTTTGAGGCCAGCCTACATAGCAAGATCCAGGCCAGCCAGACTACATAGTGAGACCGTCTCTCAAAACAAACCACAAACCCCACCATCAATGTTACAGCTTGAGCAGCCCCAGAAACAAGCAAATGCAGCTCCGCCTTCTCTTGTTGCTCCCTCAAGTCCTTTAAAAACACTACCATATCTAAATACCATCAAGGAGAGAGATGGCATCTGTCTGGCAACTGAAAAAGACACTGAAGAGAGAAAGCTGGACAGTGTCCGTCTTAGAGGTCACAGACAGTACCTCACATTCACGCGCATACACGAACAAAGGGTAAACTGGGGCCATCGACCTTGTGTGCGTAGCATCATTTCATAGGTTGGGGTCCTGGACTGAATAAACAGAGAGAACCCCCCTTCCTCCAGCAGAGCATTCATCTCTCTCTGCTTCCTGACTGACTGCGGTTTCAGTGTGGCTGCTGTTTCCGGCTCCATGCCTTTCCTGCCGTGATGGCAAAACAAACCTTCTTTTCCTTAAGTTGATTTTGTAAGATATTTTGTTGCTGCAATGAGATAAGTATTAAACTAATACAACAGGGGGTGGGGGGAAGAGAAGGAAGGAAAGAGAAGAAGAAGAGGAAGATGAAAAGTGAAATCCCATCTACCTGTGTGACCAGGGGCTTGTGCTAATAGGGCCAGGTGGTAACTCTCTTATTACTTTCTAAATGCTTAGCATTTGTGGGGCCTTAGGCTTGCAATCCCCACCACTGGGGAAAAAAAATGGATAAAATAAAATAGGTATAACAATCCCTACTTTACATAGGAGTTTGTAAGTAAGGGAGGTACTGGGTATAAAGCACTTTGCACAGTACCTAGCACCGGAAGCACTCAGCGGGTGTGCCTGTTTTTGCTATGCTAGGTGACCGACTCTAAGAGAGCAGACATCTTATCTAATGTGCGTTGTTTACCAGCTTTGGGGGTGCTCAGAAGAACCAATGTTCAGGGCCACGGCATCCCCCTCCATAGGACCCCCGCCCTTGGGTCCTGTCCTGGTGGTGCTGGGGGCCTCAGCTGTGCTCAGGGCCACACCCCTCTGAGGGACAGCAGCCAGGGCCAGGCTATTGTTGTGGCTAAGATTCTTTCCCCAAATGGAAAACCACAAATTAGAGAGGAGCTTTGGCTGGGCTCTCTGGAATTGAGGGAGGCCACTGGTCCACCCAGGGTCTTCCTTGCAGGTCAGTGTTCCTACCTTGGGGCAAACCTCTCAAGCCTGCATCCCGTCTTCTCTCTAAGCCTCGTGCCCTCCCGGAGACCCCAGCTCCTGCTGTCCTCTGACCTGAGGCTCTCAGGGCTCTTTCACCCCCCAGCCCAAACACCAATCCCCTCCAGGCCCTGCTCAAATCCCCTCTTTGAAGCTCCCCCACCCCACCCGGGCAGAACAAATCGGCCCTGCCCCACCCCCTGTCATCTGCTTTGTTCATCTCTCTGTGCAAACAGCAGGGCTGATCAGTCTTCCTCCCCTGCCGCCCTCAAAAGTTCCTCAAGAGTTTTCGACCCCCTGTCTGCCGACCCCTCAGCGCAGGTAAAGTGTTCCAAATGATCTGTTGGCAGCAGCTGAGGGTGAGGCTGCGGGCCAGGGAGAAAAGGCTTGTGCTGAAGGTATCAGTCCAAGTCTGAGGACTGAGAACCCAGGGGGAAGGCAGATCCGCCCAACATTTCCAGAGCTTCCCGAGGTGCTGGTGACTTCTCAGCACCCCTCAGACTGTGCAAAAGCCATAAAAAGAGTGGAAAGCCAGGATTTGAATCAAGGCAGGCCTGAGGTGTGGATGGCCGTGGCCTGGGGGTGGTAGCTGGCTAGGGAGGAGTAGACAAGAGTCTCCTATGTGACAGTGTAGGCAGGGGGTCTGAAGCCAGGCTTAAAGGCTTCTCAGCCCCCGTCTCAGGATTCCCGACACTGACTGGAGCTATTCCTAGTCTGGCGTCAACCCTCTCCTGAGAGGGGCCACTTCTGAGTCCGGCCCATTCCCAGCTCAGGTGCTCCGGGAATGAGGTCGGATATAGGAAGGAAACAGCCCTCAGACTTGGCCTCCCCCACCCCACCCCCCAGGTCCTGGCGAGTGGGCAGGAAGGAGCCACTTTAAAGATCTCCCTGGGGACCCATGACTAGAAAGAGATCCGGCGCTTGCTGAGTGCCCTGAGAAACGAGGGCAGCTGGACAGAGGGCTGTGGGCCCCATCCTCTTAGGACAGACAGATATATATGACTTCCCATCCTCCAGCTTTTTGTCCCCCTTAACCTTCCCTTCTAGCGCTTTTAGGGGCCCTCTCGTGACGCCCACCCATCCGCCCTCTCCCATGCTGGAGCTCTATGTGGTCCAAGGTCTGAGCCTGTTCTTGAACATTGTGTCCACTGGAGGCTCTCAAACCCTCACACCCCCCCCAAACCAAAGACCCCCGAAGAGCAAAGCTATGGCACTGCCCTCTGACTAAGGCTCCCTGAAGTCTCTGCTCTCTGACAGTACTAAGGCCGAGCTAGGAAAGCAAGAAGTCTAATTAGGAGGATTCCTGTTACCCCCTGGGTTCCCCTTCCAGTAGTCTAGCGGCTGTCCTTGATTCCCAGAACGCTGCTGTGAAAGGGCCCCTGTCGGTCCCACCCGGATGCCCCTTTAAGACCAAAGGGATGGGGGTGGCCCTGGTGAGACACTAGGTCCCATCCTCCCCTTGGCAGACCAGGTTTCCTGCCATTGACAGCGTCCTAGCTGGGCCCCCGCCCAGCCCCCCCACCGCTTAACCCCTTCCTGCCCAGGCCACAGGGCTACTGGCCTGTGTGCCCTACCTACCGTTTTACCGGATTAAGTATGTGAATCATCCTGTGAGGTAACAAGGGCTGACCTCAGCACGTGCATAGTTTTCTATGAAAGTCACCTGTTGGGCTGAAGCTGCAGCTCGGTTGGTGGAGGCCGTGCTTAGCATACACAAGGGCCTGGGTTCCACCTCTGGCACCTTACAGCACAAAATCAGGCATTGTGCCTCCTGCCTAACGCCAGTGCTCTAGAGGGTGGGGATAGAGGGACCAGAAGCTCAAGGATAGCCTGAGCTACTTGAAACCCTGCCTCAAAACAAAACAAAAAGCTAGCTATTATTATTTCTCAGCACCCCGAGCCTCTGGTCTCTTCAGCTCTCACTGGGGAAAGCAATAAAACCTAATCCCCAAAGATGGTCCCTGAGAGAACTCTGACACTTAAGAGCATTTTCTAAGATGCTGCAGCAACACAATTTTGTTTACAGACAAAAACAGGCAGGACAGAGATCCAGGGGCTCACAGGAGGTCAGGTGCCAGGGCTGAGTGGACCAGGTCCGAGCACTGTCCTTTGAACTCTAGGTGATGGAGAGTTCACCTGTCAAGAGTGTAGCTTCTGTGGTAAGGGCTTCTCCTTGATATACACAGCGTCAGGGAGATCTGACAGGCTCCCCAGGTAGGAAGCCAGAGGAACCTCTTCCCTTCCTCTCCTCCTATTTGCACTCAAGGCGCATTGTGAGTCCTAGGGTCTTCTCAGCCCATTCCAGGCCAGGTTTGGCTTCTTTGACTCTTGCCAGACAGACAGTGGGGGAGGAGGACAGAGGAGATTTGGAGTCTCTGCCCAAGTCCCTCCTGCTTTACTAATTCCCTTCCCCATTAAGTGGGGTCACTATTCCTGCTGAGCCCCATCTAGGTTCCATGGGGGAGGGGGGCCCAAAGGAGATCAGAGAGGGTAGATGGAAATGTGGCTTGCAAACACTGGAAGGGCTAGAAGGCAGGGAGGGGGCTTATGCTAAGTGGTTGGGCTGGTAGGGGACCGGGAGAAAAGCAAAGAGCAGAGCTAAGCACCGGCCTTTGAACTCTGGGTGCTAAGAAGTTCGCCTACTGAGAGGGGCGGGGCTCCCTTATGGCCAGGGCTTACCCTCCAGATAAACGGTGTCAGAGAAGAGTCTGCTAGACGCCTAGGAGCCCCCAAGTAGGTGGCCAAAGGATGGAGGCTTAGCCTGGAAGACCATTTCCGTCACATCCTTCCCAGTCAGCCCCATCTGCCATCTTGAGGGCTGTGCCGCTGAGTTCCCCACACACCTTCGGCAACACTGCACCCCACTCTTAGCCTGCAGCTGCCCAGGCTCACCTCGAGGAAAAGCAGACTCACCACACTCCCCAAACCAAGAGTAAGACAGGCCTAAACCTGCCGGGGGGGGGGGGGGGGGCAGAAGCAAATGGCATAACACCCTATTCTGCATCAAGACTTCAGAGGGAGCCTGAAGGAGCAGAAGGTCTCATTTGGGGTGTTGGTTCTTCAGGCCCAGTTTTCGACGCCTCCACGGCAACCACTGAACCTGACAGAGACTGTCTTAACCACCCGTAGAGTGAAGTTGTGTGGAAACGGGGATCAGTGGGTCCTGTCGGCACTGAGATTGGTTAGGAAGGGGTTAATTGAGTCTGAGCTCTGGGTCAGGAAGGGTTAACCTAGGGGGTGGAGGCTTTTCCTGTGGAGAGTAAGGCTTGGCTGCTACCAAAGTGACTCCCTAGTCCCAGCTGTCCCTCCTGCATTCAGTCTGGGTACAACGCTGGACCCCGCCAACTGTCTCCACACAGAGGTGAGAGCATCCGGACTGGAACGATGGGTGGGGGGGGGGGAGTCGCCTTTGGGTGACAAGGAAGCAAGTGCCAAGCTGCTGAACCTAGAAGCGCCAGGGTTTAAGCAGAAGCCTGAGTGGACAGGGTTAGAATTTACCGACTCTGCCTGAGAGAGGGTGGGCAATGGGACAGAGGGAACGGGACTGGCTACCGGTCTAGGATGGGTGTCTGTGGTCAAACATCAAAGCCACCCCAGAAAACAGGGAAACAGGCCGGGGACAGTGGACTATTTTTGGTTCTGTGTTTAGGGCCTTTTTATAGCCTCCCTGCTCAAAGTTAAAGAGAGGAGGGGACAGAGGCCAGCCATGAGGTCAGACAAGCTAGCTCAGGGCCCTCCTGGGACCTTGGAATCTGCCCTGCTGCCTAGTATAGTCCCTGAGAGAATAGAACGGGGCACCGGCCCGCTGTCACGCTGTTACTGCTGCGGAGATTTCAATCACTCATCTTGCAGTGCAGAGTAGTGGTGTGGAAAAGGGCAACAGGTTGGGCTGGGGCTGAAGTTGCCAGGGTTTCTTCTGTTCTGAGGCCTGTGTAAAGAGTGGAGGGCATCCGTCTTCAAACATCCTTGCTTTTGTTGCCTCTGGATCCAAGGTCCCTTCAGTCCCCAGGAGCAGTAAGTCTGGGGACGGGAAATCTGAGGTCGGTGTGTTGAGCCATGTGGGTGGCCCGTTCTGTTAGCTGACAAGGAAACTCTCAGCTCTTGATTTACTGTCCCTCCTGCCCTTTTCCACAGCCCATGGGAGGCGATGGAGAAGGGTCAGAGGTTTCTGGGACCCTGAGGGCAGATTTCTGAGAACGCAGGTTATTAGGAAGAATCAGTGGAAGGAACGGATTAGTGAGACTAGGAGTTCTGGTAGGCAAGCAGGGGTCCATGCTCATCTAGGTCTGCACCGTGAGGCAAGAAATCTGGGTTCCAGGGTGGCACCCTAACCCTCAAATGAACCCATAACAAACCCCTTCCTTTCCAGGCCATTCATTGTCCTGGCCTCTGAAATGGAAGAGCAGGGCTTGTCGGGTGAGGTGGTGTTTACAGTTAGGCTTTCTGGACTCCCCTTGGCAGGGCTATAGAGTGGCTGGCAGTCATACGGCCCGAGGACCACCTCCCTCTCCTTCCTGAATAGCCCTGCCGGGCCTGGGCAAGGAAGCTGGCAGCAGTTACCAGAGGCTCCTACCCTATGGTTATGTCTCTGACCTCTGGTGCTTGGAGGCGGGAAGGGTGGGTCGGCTACAGCCAGCCTGTGGCTGGGGAACCTCCTTGTCCTGGGCTTGAAGCTTCTCTGTTGGGAAGAGGTATTTTTTCCGGTTAAGGCCAATTTCGGGAACTGGGCTAGGGCCCGCCTGATTTTCCTTTCCAAGTGTCCTGCTCGCTCATCTGGCCCAGTGGCCAGATTTGGGTGCTCTCAAAGGGCCATAGATGCTCCCTTCCCAAGAACCATCCAATGTATCCAAAGGATTGGGAGGGGAGGTTCACCTTCTGCCTCCTGGGCCTGGCACCAGTCGATGGGGGAGGGGTGACTGGCTGATCCTTTACCCAGGAACGCCCGCAGGAGAGGGGCAGGGACAGCTTCCCCTCTTCCAGACAGTTCCTGTCTCCCTCCAGGCGCCAGGGACTCCTCAGCCACCTGTGCACAGCCCTGTGTATGGAGAACGGACCTGCCCAGCCTCGCTAAGATGCTCCTGGCCTCTCCCTCCATACCATCGAGGGGACGAACCCCCAGCGCCGTGGAGAGGCTGGAGGCGGACAAAGCCAAGTACGTCAAGACGCACCAGGTGATAGCACGTCGCCAGGAGCCAGCCCTGCGCGGGGGACCCGGACCGCTCACGCCACACCCTTGCAACGAGCTGGGGGCCCCCGCATCGCCCAGGACGCCAGGGCCTGCCCGTCGGGGTAGCGGCAGGCGACAGCCCAGGCCCGACTCCCTCATCTTCTACCGCCAGAAGCGGGACTGCAAGGCTTCGGTGAACAAAGAGAACGCCAAGGGCCACGGGCTAGTCCGACGCCTCTTCCTGGGAGCCCCCCGGGACGCTGCCCCGAGCAGCCCGGGACCCACAGAGAGTCCCGGGACTCCGGCGGGGTGGGCCGGGCCCCCGGACGCTCAGGAGGCCAGCGGGAAGCGCGCGCTGTGCCCCACATGCTCGCTGCCGCTGTCGGAGAAGGAGCGCTTCTTCAACTACTGCGGCCTGGAGCGCGCGCTGGTGGAGGTGCTGGGCGCCGAGCGCTTCTCCCCGCAGAGCTGGGGCGCCGAGCGCGGCCCGCAGGTCGCGGCGCCGCCGCCGCCCGGCTCCGGGGACACCAGCGACTGGACGTCCAGCGACGGGGACGGGGGCACCCCGGACGGTGCGGGTGGCGGCGGCGGCGGCGGTGGCTCGGAGGCGGCAGGCTCGGCGCGGGACGGGCGCCCCCCGGTGTCGGTGGTGGAACGCAACGCGCGCGTCATCCAGTGGTTGTACGGCTGCCAGCGCGCGCGCGCCCCGCCGCGCGAGTCCGAGGTGTGACCGCCGCCGCCCCGCAGACGGCCCCCGGGGGGCGCGCCCCGCCCTGGGGACCCCCCCCCCCCCCCCCCCGGCCCCCCGCCCCCCCCCCCCCCCCGGCTGCGCCCCGGGCAGGAGGGAACACGTTGGGCCGGGTGCTGGCTTCTGGAAGGGCCACGTGGCCTGCCTGGACTGTGAGCAGTGGTGGGCTGGGCCCAACTCCTGAATAAAGCGAAAATGTTATTTAATAAAAGGGTCGTGAGTTTGGCGTAGGCGGACAGACGTTAAAGAAAGGGGAGGACCGGCTTGCGTGGTGGCTGGGTGTGTGTGCTTTGAGTATGGGTTCCCGGCTAGCGTGACCCGGGCCAAAAGGAGGCCTTTCTGGGAGATGGAAGGAGGGAGAGGTTCTGGAGAATGTAATGCACGTGGCCAATGCGCCTGGAATAAGGAAGCGGTCAATACGCTGATTAAGCTACCCAGGATTCCTGGGCCTTCGCGCCACCCCCTCCCCCAGCTCTGCCCCCCACGGTCCCGAGGTAAGAAAGGCTCGGGGACGTGGAGGATCTGCAACGGAGATAACAAAAGCAGGGCGCCTGGAGGTCAGGATCTGTAACTATTGCCTGAGCCTGTATCCCAGGCTGGCCTCACCCTGCTAGCAAGCACTGTGGTTTATGTAACACTGGGGATTGAACCCCGGGCTTCGTGCAGCCAGAAAGCCCTCCACTAACCCAGCTCTAGTCTCAGCAGGGCCCCCTTTTCCCCTCCAGAACTTTCGTCGCAGGTTTTTCTCACAGGTTCTGGTCGAAGCCTTTGTTCAGGATCCGCCTCCTCCGGCGCTGGTTTCCTCCTCTAACTCTGCATTCTTCTCCTCCAGGAAACTTTCCCAAAATTCCCCATCGGCCTCATCTCCTCTGATCTCCCCCAGGGCAGCCAGGCCTATTTTGTGCCTCAAGAAACCCTTGTTCAGGACCCGCTGGTAGAGAGCGGATGCCGTTGGACCACCAGCAGGGGCTGCTGAAGTGAAGCTGGACAGGACAGTGGAGTCTGCCTTCTGGGGCCTCCCGGAAAGTCGCACCTTAAATCTAAGGCCACCCATCCTGCCACTTGAAGTGCCTCCGCACTTGTGTCGGGGAAGGAGGTGAGGAATCCTTTAGCTAGACACCCCCCCCCCCCAGGTCGCCCACCTAAAAGTAGCTTTTCCTGTCGTCGAGGGGAAAAAAATTTCACAGTTCCACTGGGTGTCGATCCGGGAGTTTTTATGGGAGGTAGGTTAGGGCGGGCGCCAGCTCGGCTGGCCTGCTAGTCGCCCTTGGGCGCGGCCTTCACCCTCATCTCTGCCAGTTTGTGGGTGAGGAAACCCCACTTGAAGCCTGCCGCGGAGTCGGGCTCCCGCGTCTCGGGGCGCTCGGCGGCCTCCTCGGCAGGCTTGTCCTGCGGCTCCGGGTCCCGCCCGGCGGTGCTCTCCGCTCCTCCGCGCAGCACGGACGTCGCTGCCTGCTGCTGCTGCTGCCATCTGCTGGCGAACGCGTCCCAGAATCCCGGTCCGCGCGGCTCCGTCTCGGCTGCGGCCGCCTGCGAAGAGGGGGCAGCCGCCAGCGGGCTGCAGGGGAGGCGAGGGGTCAGCAGGGTGGCCCACGGGGGACCGTGAGCAGGAGAAAAGAATGTGCGGTCAAGGTCAGGGCCTGCAAGCCAGGGGACGTTTCAAAGGCTCTGGGGTAAAGACTGAGTGCAACAGAGTCTGGGAGGAGGTGAGAGGGCCTGGCAGAGGGATCCCCGAGCTGGGTGGGGCATTCGGGAGTTTGGAGAGATGACCCTGGTGCGGAGAGGTTAGGCCAACCCTGGGAGGGTCTCTGAGAGGGGAAAGGCACGAGAAAGTTCAGGTGGGCTTGTTTATCTAGACTGCACAGGAGGGAAACATCCTCACCGGGGTGTGGGGCTGGGAAGCATAGTGGCTAGGATCTAGGATTGAGGGAAGCAGGAATTTGGCCCGCCGGAGAAAGAGGAGGGAGTCCTAGCACAGAAGCTTAGCCAAGAAGAGGGGTCAGGTGGAAGCCAAGTAGGGAAAGGCTTTCAAGGAGGGGTGATGAGGCATGAAGAAGGAGCCTCGCCTCTGGACTGGGACTGGAAGGCAGGTGTGGGGACCCGTGAGGTAAGTGGCATAGGGAGGGGCATAGGGAAGAAGGGAATTCCGTGGGTGGGTGTGCAGAGCCGAGGAAGGAGGCAGAGACGAGGAAGGAGGCAGAGACGCTGTGTGTGTAAGGGACAGAGCCAGTTGGCCATGACGCCCGGGGCCTGTCCTCAATGTCAAAGACCTTGCAAAGCAATGCTTTCCAAACTGGTGTGCCGTGGGGTCCTCTGGGATCCTCGGGCCCCCATGGGCACCAAGAGAATCGGAAGGGGAACCTGCGTTGGCCACAAGCTGCTTTGGGGGGGCGAGGGTTTATTACCCAGACCACCCTTTGCTGCAAGCCCCCTAAATAGGTCTTCCCTGCTGTCCTGGATTCTAGAGAGGTGGCTGTCCTCAGAGAGAGGGAGGAGCCACACCCATAAGGACTTACCTCAGTCCCAAGAGGTCTAACCTCAGCCACTACACAGCCAGGGTTGTCCCTATGAAGTCCCACAGGGGTGATGGACAGAGCAGAGGGAGCCAGCATGGCAGAAGAGAGATCCTAGGATCCCTCCAATCCTGCCCACCCCCCAAGGACACACATACTGATCAGCACAGGGCTCTGGTGGCAGCAGTTTGTCCTCATCTTCTTTGTTAAACAGAGATGACATCGTCAGCCAGCCTTTCACCCCAACCCCCTGAACCTGGGAGGAGAGAGCTGGGAGTCAGGAATGGACAGGACGCAGCCAAGCCTCCCAGGCTTCCCCTTGGCCTCTGCCAGGCTTCCCGGGCTTGGGTGGGAGACTGGAGAACTCACCCGTCGGGCCAGCTGTGACATGGGGTTGAAAGCCTCCTCTGCGGGTTCCGCCGTCTCAGACTCCACTAATGCTGGGCTCTCCCTCTGGGATACAAGACACCCCTCAGCATGAGTGAGTGAGTGTGTGTGTGTGTGTGTGTGTGTGTGTGTGTGTGTAGTCACAAACACAGGCCTGCAAGGTACATTTCTGCACACACTCTTGAGCACATACGCCTTCCTGCTACCAAACATAGCCAAACAAACTCAAAAACTTGGACAAGGGCATACTATGCACGCTACTACAGACACACGCCTGTACATGAGCACGCCTCTTTGTGGGGACCCCTTTCCCCCTGTGTACAGACACACCAATGGTCAGGCACTCACACGAGAACACTCATGGTTAGACACTCATTCCTGTGTCTTATTTTCCTGCAGGCAGCTAGCTAACCAGAGGTCCACGCACAACGTCCAAAATTTCTCTACCAACCAAAGGTTACCCCTGCAAATGCCGGCATGAAGGCATTACAGGTACAGAATCTTACTCAAAATGCATATTCATGAAAAAAAAAAATCACTAAATCCGGTTCACGCCTGCACTGGAGTTTCCACCGGCACCAACTGTAGCACCATCCTATAGACACGTCAGGAGAAACGCAGCCTCGGACACCAGCCCGTCCCTCACGGGGCTGCTTCCTGTCCCTGCCACATCTGTTTGTGTGCCTGCCACTCATCACAGCTTCTAGACATAAACTCCTAGCCTCAAAGTCCTTCTTTACCCTCCCCGTCACAACCAAGTCTGGTCTAAGTATGGCTTTGGCGGGACGCTGCTACTGTGGCCCACGGAACGCTAAGAGCTACTCTTTACTCCCACAAACAGGAGCTCATTACCTCTTTGGGCAAGCCATCCCACTTTTGCTTAGCTTTGTCTGATAGAGAGCTGTCTCAAGCTTAATATCCTTTTGTGTCCACTGCCAAGTAGCACTAGAACATGCTTTCTCATAGGGCAGTTCATGAGGTCCTTGGGGCCGGTGTCGGCTTCTCGAGTGGTCCCAGCTCTTCCCATTCTTGTTTATTTGAACACCATTGCACCGTGCCGTTTGTAATCTCTGAACGTGCCTACGAGTTTTGCACTAATGAACCCCTCTTCCTCCTCGGACTTTTAAATGCTCTTGGTCCTCCCTCTTTGCTGTCTCTAGAAAACACAGGTAGCACCCACCTCTGCCAGGTCCTCTTCAGATTCCCCACTCAGCGTCTGCAGAACTTTGGATTTGTAGGTTTTCCAGAAGGCTTGGTTCATGGCTGCAGGGGAAAGGGGCCCGGCACCCGGGCACACACGGCGGCAGCTCAATGGGCAGCAGCGGGTCTGGTTCCAGAAACTCGGAGGGACCGAGAGCCTGTCCCAGGGATCTGGTGACTTCATGAAAGATGCACCAGTCTCCCCAGCTGGCACAGGGCCGAGCAGGTGAACCTGATCCTAGCGGTTGGGGTAGGCCTGTGCCGCCTCAGCCCTAGTCTTGACCCATATTGGCCAAAGTTAATGAAGATGGCATTTTGGAGGGTCCATTTTCCTGCAGTTGGGAGTTTCCTGCACTGATGGGGGTTTGTCTCTTAGAATAGCTGCAGAAAAATTTTCCAGGACCCATACCTCTACATCCCACGGTTGTAGCCACACCAGCTAAGTCCTCATCAGGGCCTCGCCCGTGCCTCCACTCAGCCTTCAGGAGCCCGAGTGGGACGATCCCCGGACCTCCAGTCAGCAGCCTGGGCTTCCATTTCGCTGCTTTGTCTGACCTAGAAACCCGTCCTCCCCAGGGATGAACGTGCAGTCTCCCTGTTTCCTGGCAACTGGTTCCAGAGGGCTGGAACCCTGAATTATTGCTGAGATCCTCTGCCCCCACATGGTAGAGCTGGCTCTGGCCAGCCTGAGCGGCACCAGGCCAAGACGAAGGAAGAAAGGCCCTCTGGTGCCCCCCCCCCCCCTAAGCGCACAGTTCCTGCTTGTTTCCCCCTTTCCTGCCAGGCCTCCCCTAGGTGCCTGGGCATAGAGAAAGAAAGCAGAGATGGGGACCTTTCCAGGGACATTTCCTCTTGGGCTGGGGATGTAGCACCATACTCTCAGCCCCACCCCGTTAGACTGTCTGCCTGGAATATATGAGGTCCTGGGTTCCATCCTCCGTACTGAAAAAGCAGACAGACAGACAGACAAAAAGGTTCCTCTTGCAAGAAGAGCTGACCACTCTTTGAGGATGAAACCCCTAGGTGCTAGACTCTCTGGGAAACAATTCTCCGCTCTTTGCCCTAGGAATTTATCTGAGAGTAGAAAGGACGGAGGAGAGAGATGCAGACCCAATGAAATGAGGGAGGTGTGTGTGTGGGGGGAACAAGAGGCCCTTTGTTAGAGCCTCGGTATCTCTGGGTGTTCCATCCATGATTCCAAACTTTTTCTCATTTGTGAAATAATTTATTCATTCACAAGCATTCGTGCTTTCCAGTAACGTTGAAAGCGTCCCTACGACTGAAATCTGAGGTGTGGAAACCGGGAAGTAATGATGGGGCAGGCAGAGTAGTAGGACCCGCTTCGCCGAGGCCCGCTCCTGCCGACCAGAGCCCAGTCACTATCACCCGAGACCACCTGGGGGCGCTCCAGCAGCCAACCCGTCTGTGACGCCATCAGAGGCGGTCTAGCCCATCCCGCTCCGCCCCCGGGCGGGCCCTCGTGACGTCATCGGACGGCCCGGAAGCGCCAGCACGTGTGGGTCTTTCCCCAATCCCCGTTTCTTGGTCCGGTTGTCTCTGATCATGGGTCGCTCCCGCCGGACCGGCGCGCACCGAGCACATTCCTTAGCCCGCCAGATGAAGGCCAAGAAGCGGCGGCCGGACCTGGACGAGATTCACCGCGAGCTGCGGCCGCAGGGGCTCCCGCGGCCCAAGCCGGAGCTGGACGCGGAGCCCGACCCGGACCTGCCAGGGGGCGGCCTGCATCGCTGTCTGGCCTGCGCGTGAGTCCAGCCAGGGGCGGAGCAGGGTCTGAGGTACCATCCCAGAGCGGTGAGGTCCTGGCCACGAGTCGCACGGGGTTCCTGGCTTGGGACCCGTGGGTCAGTCTGTCTCTCATCCCGAACCTAGCCGGGAACGAGCTAGGGCCGGGGAGGTGGGCATATCTGACAGGCCTCACCTCTTTTCTCTTCCCCTCACTCCTACTTCCCCGCAGGAGGTACTTCATCGATTCCGCCAACCTGAAGACCCACTTCCGATCCAAAGACCACAAGAAAAGGTAGGATGTGATGAAGGTTAGTAGAGGGCTGGTGGGAGGGTACCATGCAGGATCTGGTCAGCTCCAATCTCCTGTTGCTCCCAGGCTGAAGCAGCTGAGCGTCGAACCCTACAGTCAGGAAGAGGCTGAGAGGGCAGCGGGCATGGGCTCGTATGTGCCCCCCCGGCGGCTGGGCGTGCCCACAGAGGTGTCCACTGAGATCCCAGAGATGGACACGTCCACCTGAGCGGCCTTGAAGATGCAAGGCAGAAAAACTGCCCGTGGACGGTGGTTCAGCGGCTAGGCTGAGAGTGTGGACTTTGGGTTTTGTTTGGGTTTGGGGAGATGCTCCCTTCTGGGTGTTCTGACCCAAATAAAGGACCTGGACAAGACTGTGCACCTGCGATGCTAACTTCGCTTTCAGCCGTGCAGGGGTTTCTGGACCAAGAATGTCTGCTCCTACTAGGGCCAGCTTTGGAACCCGTACCCCACCCGCCTTCTTTGGATCTGGGCTGGCGTCTAGGTACAGTGTAAAATTGGGAAGTAGGATCAGGCCTTTTCAGTGTTTCTGGCGATGGCAGAGGCTGTCCCCATGGGGAATAAGTAGGTTTCTGAGATTGCAGACCCCGCCCCGCCCCTGAGTCGCCTACCTCCAAGCCTGGGTGAGAGGCTCCCTGCCTCATCATGGGGCCTGTGATGGCTGCCGTTGCTTCACCATCTTCCATACCGCGTAGCAGGACCCGCCTAACCCCAGGACCGCCAGCAACGTAGCAACAATTCCGACCAGCGGACTCCGGGGCTCTGCCTTCAGCTCCCCGGCCACCTGCATCTGGGGGAAGAGTGAGACTGCGAAGTAGGAAGGGGATAAGACGGTACAGCTGGGTGAGGAAGATACGGATGCCGTTTCCGCCCCGGGGGAGATTCCACCCCGATCCCTCTCGCCTCACTGCCTATCTGGGTCCCGGCTAGTCAGGCAGCAGGGAACGTGACAGCCTAGCTGTTGGGGTGTCTGCCCCGCCATGGGGGGAGTATCGGAGGGATAGGTCGGTGTTGAAAGCTGGTATTTAAATGTACTTACCTGTAGCACCCGGAAGTAGCCAGGGGTCAGGCGTCGAAATCTCATGGTGGGGGGCCACTGGTCTCCCTGTGGGCCAGTGGAGTGGGAGCAGAAATGAAGACTAGATGTTGTCCAGGGTATCAAGAAGTAGAAACCGATGCACAGGGGTCCCTGGCCTGTTTCCCTGGACACAGTGCGCTCATAGGATGTTCACAGCCTCTGGCTTGCCCAAATCTGGCAGTGGGCGGGGCAGGTGGGTCTTTAAATCTGGTCCCTCCCCCCCCCCCCCCCCCCCCCCCGCCTTCTGCTTGCCAGCCTTAGGAGCAAGCTGTCAGGGGAGATCAGCATCAGGCCTGAGTAGCAGCTCCTCCCCCATTCACCAGAGAAGCCAGGCCAGGCGTGTAGGCAAAGCCTTGACTGGCAATGCCCAGGAGTCCAGGCATCAACCAGGTACTGGGCGAGAGCTTCCTCGGCCCGGGTCTGGACCACACCTCGGATGAGTGGTTGTTACCAACGCTGACCTCTTCCTTCCTCCCAACAACCCCATGGCAGGGCTGATCCCCCCAACAGCTGGAGCTTCATATTCCCTGCTGTCTGACCTGTCAGCCATTTTTCCGTTTGGGTTCTGTAAATTCAGCCGCTTTTTGGAGGGATGTACACGTCATCTCCCCCCACCCCAAGATGAAGTTCCCACAAGAACTTCTCTTTTGTGGGCTTGAGGATGATCAATAAAGATTTGCTTATCCAATAAGCTGTTAATAATATGTTGTTAAATTTTAAAATTACATTTATTATCTCTTTGTTGGTTTGTTTTTATTTTTGTTGTTGTTTTGAGACAGGCTCTTTCTACATGGCTGTCCTGAAAGTTACAACGTAGACCAGGCTGTTTTTTTGTTGGTTGGTTGGTTGGTGTTGTTTTGTTTTGAGAGAGAATCTTTCTACCCAGCTTTCTTGGAAGTCACTGTTTGGACCAGGCTGGCCTTGAACTCAACAGAGATCCCCCTGTGTCTGCCTCCCAAGTGCTGACATTAAAGGTGTGGGCCGCCATGACGAGCTTCTACAGTTTTCAGAATATCTGTGTAAAGGATGAGAGGGCTCAGGCGGACGAGATGATTCTTTGATCGAGAGCACTGGCTGTATTTCCAAAGGACCCGGGTTCAGTTCCCAGCACCCACATGGCAGCTCACAACTGTCTGTGACTGTTTCCAAGGGATCCAACACCTTCATACACATATGCAGGCAAAACACCAGTGCACATAAAATCAAGGTAATTACATGTATGTGAATGAATGAGAGGGCTGGAGTGCAGTGAGTGAGTGCATGTCTGTCATTTGCAGACTCTGGAATAGATCCTGCAAGCCACAAAAAAAAAAGAGAGAAAAAAAACTAGTTAAAAAAAAGCATTAGTTAAACACAGTGGCACATGTCTGGAGGCAGATGCAGGAGGAGCTCTAAGCTAGAGGCCAGAGAGACCTTGTCTCCAAAAAAAAGAGAGAGAGAGACTGAGAATTCAGATGTAGCCAGGCATGGTGTCAACTTAATTTCAGCACTCAGGAGGCAGAAGCAGGAGGAGCTCTGAACTGGAGGCTAGAGAGACCTTGTCTCCAAAAAAGAGAGAGAGAGAGAGAGAGAGAGAGAGAGAGAGAGAGAGAGACTGACTGAAAATACAGATGTAGCCAAGCATGGTGGCAACTTCTTAATCTCAGCACTCAGGAGGCAGAAGCAGGTGGGTCCCTGTTGAGTTCAAGGCCACCCTGGTCTCCACAGTGAGTTCTAGGACAACCTGGGCTATGTAGTGAGATCCTGTCTCAAACAAGTAAACAAGAAAGGAAGAAAACACAGATGGCTACAGGATGAAACGTAGCACGTGCAAAGCCCCGGGTTTCCATCCTCAGCACCCCACAAACCGTATTTTGTGTCTTATGTCTGACCTCAGTAGAAGGAGCAGAAGGTCAAGGTTGTCATCCACATACAGGGAAATCCTGGCCTTCTGGATTTGTAAGATTGAAAGGGAAAGACAGTTTACAGCTGTTTCATAACCATGGTGGTCGTTTGCCCACTCTTTTTTTTTTTTTTTTAATAATTTATTTTATTTTTATGTGCATTGGTGTTTTGCCTGTATGTCTATGTGAGAGTGACTGATCTTGGAGTTACAGACAGTTGTGAGCTGCCATGTGGGTGCTGGGAGTTGAACCTGGGTCCTCCGGAAGAGCAATCAGTGCTCTTAACCGCTGAGCCATCCCTCCAGCCCCGCTTAGCCCACTCTTTGTTTTTGTTTTTTCAAGACAGGGTTTCTCTGTGTTGCCTTGGCTGTCCTGGACTGTAGACCAGGGTCTGCCTCCCAGAGCGCTGGGATTACAGACATGTGCCACTGTGCCTGGCCCTTAGCTCACTCTTAACCACACCTGATGGCATTCTTTGTCTCGGGCTCTGATTCAGGTAGCCACCAAGGCTTAGGTACCTCTGTGTCTAGCAGACTTTGGATGACCAAATGGCCACTCTGCCTGTCCTCACCCTGGTGACCCAGACTTCTCCATCGCGCTTCTGTGTTCTCTATCTTTAGCTGTCTACTAGTCAGTGTGTGAGGGGAGGGCTGGGGATTGTGTGCCAGAGCGCATACCCAGCGTGTAAGCCCAAACTTCAGTTACCAGAACCAGAAGAAGTTAGACCTCTCTTCCTGCCTAATGCTCCTATTTTGTTCTCTCTGCGTATTCTGGCTGTCCTGGAACTCACTCTGTAGACCAGGCTGCCCTCAGACTCACAGAGATCTGCCTGCCTCTCCCTCCCCAGTGCTGGAGTTAAGGTGGTGTTTCCACCATGCTTGGCTAGTGTTCTTCAAAATAAACATACTTAAAATACATACATAATTACATGAATGCTATTGTGTGCGTGCATCAGTCATGGGACCACGTGTAGCAATCAGGTCTCCAGTGTGTCCTAGAGACTGAAGTCAGGTTGTAGGGTGCTGGGGTAGGTGCCCTAATGCTACTAAAAAGCAAGATTTAACTTTATTTTTTTTAAGTGCTATTTGTGTTAATAAATACCTCAGCATACCACAAATTTGTGTATTGTTTTTTAAATATTTAATATTTGCCTGCATGTATGTCTGTGTGCTATTTGCATGCCGGGTGACCTCAGAGGTCAGAGAGGTCTTTGTGTCCCTGGAACTAGAGTCACTGACAGTTGTGAGCTGCCATGTGGGTGCTGGGCCCTGCGTCCAGAACCTCTGGAAGAACATCCAGCACGCCTCACACTGAGCCATCTCTCCAGCCCTTGCTCTGCTTTTTGAGACAGCTGTGCCACCATACCTGGTCAGCATTCTTTGAAAGTAAACGAATAAAGAAAAATGCATTAACATTAAATTTTTTACCTGGAACTCACAATGTAGACCAGGCTGGCCTTGAACTCACAGTCCACCAACCTCTGCCTCCCCGGTGCTGGGATTAAAGACGTGCATTACCACATTTGACCATTGATTTGTGTCTTAATTTATAGTTGTTGGCTTAATCCTAAACATTGTTTTGTGCTTTTTAAAAAAGATTTTATGTGTATGGGTGTTGGCATATGTGTTTATGGACCGTGTTCATGCAGTTCCTGAAGGACGCCCGGAAGAGGGCGTCAGATTCCCTGGAACTGGAGTTACAGGTGGTTGTGAGTCAACAGTGGGTCCTAGAAATGGAACCAGGGTCTCTGCCTGTTAACTGCTGGCCATCTCTCCAGCATCTTTTAAGAGTATTGTTCTAAGCTGGTTCTGTGGTGCAAACTGTGGTCCCTGCTTCTTTGGAAACTGAGGCAGGAAAATCTCCTGAACCCATGAGTTGGAGAGCAGTCTGAGCAACAACAGGAATGGAAAGCATCACAAAAATTGTAGCAAGAATAGAAGTGCTTTCAGGAGGCAGCTTTGGTGTCTGTGAATGTCTCTCCAGGTGGGTGGACCGTGTGTTTTCTCTCCATTTACTATTGTAACCGATAAAGGCTGTTTGTGCCCTAAAATAAGTGATAGCTGAAATGAAAAGTCTTACTTTGAGAAAAGGTCTCTAAATCTCAACAGACTGTTAAAGGTTCAAAATAAATGACTTAGTTTTAGTTTCTGCTGTTTCATTTTTGTGGTTTTGGAAATGGGCTCACTCTCTAGTCCAGGTCCTCCTTGAACTCGGGGCAATCCTCCTGCCTCGGCCTCCAGAATCCTGAGATTACAAGCAGGAGTCACCGTCACCTGCTTTCCTAAGAATTTAAAGCCGTTTGCTCAGGTACTCGCAAATGTCCCATGAATCGAGGACTGTTATGCGCTGGAACTCCACGGGGAGTTAGGTCAGCCGTCTGTGCGACAACTCCAGACGATAGAGAACACGGGGACCTTGGGGTGGGCATGAGGGACTGACTGGTCATGCGCTTTGCTTCTGCGCCAACTCCTCCCCAGGTACTCTTCTTTTTTTAGGCGCTGGTCTGGGTCCCAGGCTGGGAGACGGGGCCAGTTTTTGTTTGGTTGGTTGCTTTTTTGTTTTGCTGTTGTGTGAGATAAAGTCTCCCTCCCCAGGTCTGGCTAGCTGGGAACTCACCGTGTAGACCCTGCTAACGTCAAACTCATAGGGATCCTCCCCGGTGAGGCCAGTTTTGAGCCGAATCTCATGCCAGTTCCGGACTGCCCGAGTCACACCCCGTGGCCTCAGCCCAGGAGTCTGAATGCCCAGCTGCCAAAGTCCTAGGATGCCAGAGGGGCAGGGCAGGAGGCAGACAGGCGGTGGGCCAATGGCAGGCCCGGCGCCTCACCTGGGTGGCCACGTGGGCCCAGGTATGCGGCGGCCCCGCCCTGGCCCAGCCCGGCGGGCTCCTGGCTCCTTCTGGGAGCGGAAATTCCTGCAGGGGCTGGACGCTGCGGGCGGAGCTCGGTATGGAGCCTGTGGAAGCCTGGACCCCCGGGAAGGTGGCAGCCTGGCTGAGAGGTTGGTGAGCCGGGAAGGGTGGCGGGGTTCCGAGGGGCGCTCCGGGGGACTAGCGCGGTGTCCCTCGGGCAGAAAGTAGGGAGGGAAAAAGAAGAAAGAACTGCCGAGTCTATTAGTCAGCAGCGTTTATAGAGCGTCCACCCTCCTACCAGCCTACCGAGGGCCCCTGTACAGGCACCGTGCGGGCAGAGGTGGGCCAGGCCTCACCGGAGGAAGAGACGCAGGAAGGGGGTCTCCCCATAGATTTGTAGGTTCAAGCTCCCGCCAGGGTGACGACAGACAGGTGCGGTAATGAGCACACAGGTTTGCCCTGACGGCCCACGCCCCCTTTATCTCCCGGCATCTTCCCTGTGCCCCAGGGCCCCGGGGGCTGTGATTAAGCCCATTTTTCAGAAGCAGAAACATGCACAGAGCCAGGAAGTGATTTGTTCGGTCTTGGAACAGGGCCGGCCCTGGTGTCATTTTCCCGAGGTTGGCAGTGTGTGAAACAGAAACCCCAGCTGTGCTGGAGGGGTGACACAGCCCCGCCCTGGGTTTCCATCCGAGGGAGGAGGATCACTCCCCAGGCGACCAGGAGACACAAACACAGTCACCCTCAGAGAAATGAGGGCGTTCCGCGTGGCCGCTGCCGGGAGTGGGGAGGCCAGGCATGCCATTGCTCTCGCAGGGGCAGCTGGAGCCTGACGGATCCGGTGCGATCAGCCCAGGAGAGCAAGCAGACTCCCAGACGGGTCGGTGGCCGCAGGTCTCAGTTTCTCTATTCCTGAACGAAAATGAGACCACGGCGGTGTGACTGACACGCGTAGCTCAAATGCTGGCGTGGATCGGGGAGGGAGAAGGGCACACCAACTTGTCCAAATAACCCGGCCCAGTTGAGGAACCACACACATTCCCCAATGACAGGGTCGGGGAGTCTTTCTTCCAAAGTGTGAGCGAGCCACTACGTCTCCCGTGTTTTGACTGCACGGATGTGCCTGCACCTTGAGTGTGCTTATGGATTGTCGTGAGCTCCCACGTGGGTAAGGGGACTGAATCTGGGTCCTCTGCAAGAACAGTAAATGCTCTTAACCACTGAGTCATCTCACCAGCCCCTGCTTGTTGTGTTTTATGTTTGACTGCTTGAGCATGGATTTGGTGGATGGCCATGTCAGTGGGTTGGACACACTCGTGAGAGTCTCTGCTGTATATGGTTTTCAGCTCAGGAGTGAGATGGGCGGAACCCAGCCTGGGTCTCGGGATTATCATTAGGGACGGGAAGGAGGGGGAAGGGCTCTGATGTAATAAAAACTCAGGATGGTAGTGCCACCTGTATCCCCAAGCCGTCCCCTTCTGCCTCCAGGCCTCGACGACGCCCTGCGGGACTATCCCTTTGAGGACTGGGAGCTTCCCGGAAAGTACCTACTGCAGCTCTGTCCCCAAAGCCTCCATGCTCTGACCGTGTGGCCTTTGGGCCACCAGGAGCTCATTCTAGATGGGGTGGAGCAGCTGCGGGCCCTAGTGAGTAAGCACTGCCCCGCCCTGGCTGCAGCGCCCACCAGGCTAGGGGTGTTGGGAGAGGGGCGGTAATGTGATCCGTTTTCCATGCCCATTTTCGACCCAGGGCTCCAAGCTGCAGACGGAGAACCTGAGGAGTCTGGCTCGGGGGCTGCTGGAAAGGACCCAGGCCTTCCAGGGCCTGGTCCGAGGCCGCCTGGGAGACCGTGCCGAGACGCCCGCTGATGTCCTCAGTGCCGCTGTAGAGCTGGTGCGGGAAGCCCATGCCCTCCTCTCCTGGCTCAACAGGTACTAGGTGGCTAGTGACTCTTCTCGTCCTTGGTCTCCTCCAGGGCCTGGGACAGAAAAACAGCACTTGGTCTTGATCTGCAGTGTCAGAGCAGACCAAAGAGTGAGTCTGTGCAGGGACACAAGGACACCTTGCTTCCTGGCCCACCCTACAGCTTATCATCTCATTTGCGTATGGGGGGAGGGCACAGGAGTGTTCACGAAAGGTCAGAGCATCCCTTGCCTGGATCGGTTCTTGTCTTCCACCATGGGCATCCCAGGACTTGAACTCAGGTACCTCAGGTCATCAGCTTTAGTGACAAGCATCCTTAGCAACAAACAATCTTCCTGCTTCCTCACCAGCTACTGGTGCCTTCACTGGCAGCTGTCTGTCCTACCTCAGATGTCACCTCCTCAGGGGTCCCTTCCCTGTGCACGGCTCTTGAAGCTTATTTGTAGTACTCGGAAGAGTTGAAGTTAAATCATTAATAATATGGCTATCTGTCTCATGCCCGTCTCCTTGGTGCCTACAACAGGGCATGGCACACACAGGCCCTGTGCTGAGAGGATCCCCCCAGGGCAGGAACTGTCTCCAGTGCTCAGGTGAGGAATCAAATCCAATGTCTTCATTGTCTTCCCCTGCCAGGTACCTCTTCTCCCACCTGAATGACTTTTCTGCCTGCCAGGAGATTGGTGTGTTGTGCGGGGAGCTGGGCCAGGTCTTACAGGAGGTATGAGGACAAGGGGCCAGGCTGGCCCAGGCCCCAGGGCTTTTTATAACCTGTGAATCAGACCAAGACTGGGTGTGAGAGCCGGGGGAGGGGTGAACGAGAATAGAAGCCCTGCCTTTGGATGTTGGGTGCTGGGTTGTAACAGGCCGTGGGGTGGGTCGTGGGGTCCCTCTGGCAGAAGCTGGGGTGACAGTCGGGAAGGGTGGTAGGGGAGGGCATGTGTCGTGATTGCTGAGTCAGTTGTCAGAGGAAGGAAACCTTGTTGATGAGACCGTTAGAGTTCTGGCAAGATCAGTGGAGGGAAGGCAAGGGAGGGGCATCAGAGACCCTTTCCACCCCCACCCCGTGTCCTCAGGAGTGGGCGGCCCCCACCCCTTTCTAAAGGGGGACCCCTGTGGTCTCTGCTTCCAGGACTGCCCAGAGGCTGAGAAGGAGAGCAACGTCCTGAGGATTGTGAGTCTCAGGGGTGGGCGGGCGGGCATTGGGTAAGGGGGTCGGGCTCAGCCAGACAGCCTGCCCTCCTCCCCCAGTGCAGCCACGTGGCCGGGATCTGCCACAACATCCTGAGCTGCAGCCCCGAGGAGCTGCTGGAACAGAGGGCTGTGCTGGAGCAGGTGCAGCTGGACGACCCTTCGGTGAGCTCTGAGCCTTCAGGCCCTCTCCCTGCAGACGCCCGGGACCTGGTCCGGGAGCCCCAGCATCTTGTGTTGCTATGTCCTCTGGGTACGGGTGTGTTTCACTGGAGGCCCGGAGGACCTCCCTGGGGGATCTCCCCATTGCTCCACACCTTTCCCAAGCCAGAGGGGCTGTTTAGCCCGGTCCGAGTGGCACATTCCTGTCCTGGCAGGGTTCTCTCGGGGCAGATTAGTAACATGGGAAATGACCATTTGAGAAGATCAGAGTAGCTCCCTCTGCCCCCAACCCCTGTTCTCCCTTCAGGAGATTTCTGAGACTCTGTTTACCTCAGAAATAGGTGACACAGTTTCTCTGTGGCCTTTTTGGGGGTTGGGGGTGGGAGGCAACAAGCCCCTAGTTACAAACCAGTTAGGACAATGACATTTTGGGGCTCTGTTCCCATTCTCCCCACTTTTGAGTCATTGCGCCCGGTGTGAGGTCCTGCCCACTGGCTCTGCCGAAGCCAAGCTTTGCTTGACTGAGCCTCCGTTCCACAGGCTCTAGAAATCCACACCACCGGCAACTGCCTGCACTTTGTGTCCGGGGTAGGCGTCCAGGTAGGAGCCCACCACACCTGCCACCCCTGTCTACCCTGAAGGCCTTCTCACCTGCCAGCCTTGGTCGCTGGACAGCCTCATTCTCTCGGCCTTATTCCTCACACCAGGATACCACCCGCTCCCAGATCCTGCCAGGAGACGAGATCATCCAAATCAATGAGCAGGTGGTGGTGAGTGACCAGGAGTGGGCAAGGTGGTGGTGAGGGGTGCGGAGGGGGCTTGTGTATGAGAGGAAGTCACCCCAGGGTTTTGTGAAGACAAGGGCTGAGGGATGCTCTGCACGCCACGAGCAGCACAAGAAAGTCTCCGGGTGACTGTGTGGTGCTAGCCTGACCTTCCACAGAGCTCAGTCACTCTGAGCCTGACCTTCCACAGACACTCTGAAGGTGTCGAGAAGTGAGGGGAATCCCTGAGAGGGAAGAGTTGCTGGGCTGCTACCGAACCTCCCACTCAGTGTCCCCGTCCCTCAGGTGGGCTGGCCCTACAAGAATGTGATAAGGGAGCTGCTGAGGGAGCCAGCAAGGGTCAGCCTGGTGCTGAAGAAGATTCCGGTGCCAGAGACCCCCTCTCAGGTACCTGCCCCCTCCCCACCCCTCCACGCTCACTTTCCAGCTCCCATGGTCAGCTCCATCATTTTTGTTTCTGGTTGTTTCCCAGACGCCTGTGGACTCCCCTCACCTGCTAAGCCCGTCGCTGCCTCTGGACCCACTGTCTCCCAGGTAACCAGCTCTACCCGTGGTACGTGTGTCTCAAAGCGGGGAGCACAGGCTCACCTAACGTGGCCTCGTTCTCCACAGGGTTCCCTCTGAAGGCCTTTTTGCCTTTGACCTGCCTGAGGAGGGGAGTCCCAGACCCAGCGCTGCCTGGACAGGTAGCTTTACAGCCCTGTGGGTAGTTCATGCTCTGGACAGGACATCTGAGTCTCCAACTGGCTGTGCATGCTGACCTTCCTGCCCGCAGGCCCTGGCCTGAGCTCATGGATTTTTCCCTCTCTCTCCTCCCCACTTGACAGACTCCACCTCCCTTGACGCTAAGCCGCTGCCCACGCCCCCTGAACCCCCAGGAACACTTCCAGAAGAGACAGCAGAGCCTCTGGAGTCCTCAGGACACCTTGACAAGGTAAACTCAAGGACTTAGCATGGAGGGGCCTGGGCTCTGAATCCAGACCCTTCCCTAAGCTCGCCTTCACGGTCTTTTCAGAGTCCCATCCTTGGTCGGAAGAAATCTAAAGGTATGCAAGCCCCTGACTGGGTGGGGTGTCAGAAAGCTTTGCAGGGCTGGATGGGACCCTCCCTGCACACATATGCTTCCTGCACGACAGCCTTTCCTGGAAACATGGGTCGCCGTCCCCCGCTTCTAGCCTGGCCTCTTGCTAGCTCTGAGACTGTGAGAAAGCTCCTAGTGTGTGTGTGTGTGTGTGTGTGTGTGTGTGTGTGTGTGTGTGTGTAACCCAGAGCTGTGCCCAAGCTGTATGCCCAGCTTTCTCTAGTCACACTCAGTCCACCTGACGTGTGTAGCTTTGTGAGCCCAGAGTGTGAGTTCAGTGTCCCTGGGGAGTCGCATGGGGGTGAGGAGACTGAGGGAAGGATGCTCGCTGGCCCCTCACCGATCCATTCTCCGGTGTTGGGGCAGGTGTGGCCTCTAGGCTGAGCCGCCGGCGGGTGTCCTGCCGGGAGCTGGGCCTGCCCGACTGTGATGGATGGCTTCTGCTGCGCAAGGTGCCCGGCGGCTTCATGGGCCCTCGCTGGCGCCGCTGCTGGTTTGTGCTCAAGGGCCACACCCTGTACTGGTACCGCCAGCCCCAGGTGAGACCCCACACACACTTTCGTAGGTAACAAGCGAAGCCGAGGGCCACCATTCTTATCTGTTCTACGCAGGAGGGGTGGGGGACTCCCCAGTATTTCCAGTTGCAAAGTGGGGGTGGCTCTTGGTAGGGAAATGAATTCACACACGTATAAAAAAGGTTCTAGGGAACTGGGAAGACGGCTCAGCAGTTAAAATACTTGTAACTCTTGCAGAGGCCTGGTGTTTGGCTCCCAGCACCCACATGGTAGCTCAGGACTGTGACTCTGGTTTCCAGGGGATGGGATGCCCTCTTCTGAAGTCGGCGGGCACCAGGCATACACGTGGCACCCACAGCAGGTTTCAGGCCAGCCCAAACTACCTAGTGCAACTCATGTCTGAGAATAAAAAAGGCCAGTGAGATTGCTTAGTGGGTGCAGGTGCCTGCCACCAAGCCTGATGGCCTGAGTGTGATACCCAGAATCGCCACGGTCTAGCAAGTTGTCCTCGGATCTCCATGTGTTTTGTGGCATGCATGGGTGGGCACGGGCACACACAATAAATAAATGTAAAACATTTTTTACTGGCGGTGGTGGTACACTAGGGAGGCAGATCTCTGTGAGTTTGAGGCCAGCCTGGCCTACAGAGTGAGTTCCAGAACAGCCAGGGCTATACACGGCAAAACACTATCTTGAAAAATCAACCAAACAACCAAACAACCAAACAAAAAAACCCATTTTAAAGTATAGAGAGAGTGACTTTTATTCTCCCTACCTCTCCTTTCTCTTCTGATATTCTACCCATGCTAGTGATGGGCCACTCACTCATTTATTCGCTCGCTAGACATCCAGGTGGCTACTGGACTCAGCTCTGAGCTAAAGTGCTGGGGGCACAGTGATTTGGGTAGTCCCTGCCCTTCTGTAATTGAGAGGCCCATTGGGGAAGGAGCTGAATACACCCTTAAGGACAACGGGCCATGTGCCAAGATGAAGGAAATCCCAGTCATGTGTGGGAGCCCAGCCGAGGTGTCTGATCTAGTCCAAGGAGTCTAGACGTTCTTCCAGAAAGCTGTGTTTGGATGATTATCAGATGAAAGGGAAAAGGAAAACCAGGAAGGGAAAAGGCTTTCCGAAAGCAGCTAAGGGGAATGCCTGAGCAGGCTCCTCCCCTTCCGCTGTTTTTCTGGGTACCTTTGCCCTCCTTTCCCTGCTCAGAGGTGCTCCATGGCCACACCTTCTACCCCAAGCCCCAGAAACCCTGAGGGGTAACAGGCACCTGGCTGTGGCCCCTTGCTGACCCTCCTGCTGTGATCCCCCAGGATGAGAAGGCGGAAGGGCTTATCAACATCTCTAACTACAGCCTGGAGAGCAGACCTGACCAGAAGAAGAAATAGTTAAGTCTGGGAATGGGTTGGGATGGGGAGAAAAGTGGAGAGGAAGGGAGAGGGTGGGGTGGGGTGGAGATGTGGCAGGTGGCGGGGATTCCTGATCCAGCCTCTCTCTGGCTATGACTCCTTTCTGCTCCGGGGCAGTGTGTTCCAGCTGACCCATGAGGTGTACAAGCCCTTCGTCTTCGCCGCTGAGACTCTGTCGGATCTGAGCAAGTGAGTGGCATTTCGTCATCCTTACGCCCACACAGTCCCCAGACACCAAGAGCCTAAGGGCTGCGCTCAGGAGGCTGCGCCCAAACTCCAGCCCTCAGAAAGCCCGTGTCGTCATCTTCAAAAATGGGCAACGAGGCTTTCCTACCTCAGTTGCTCTCTGAGGGTCAAATCTGGGACTCTGGGACTCGGCGGTTCACCTCTCAAATTCCAGCTGAGGCAGGAAGAGTGCAAATACAAGGCCAGCCTGGGCTGCATGTTGAGTTTCAGGCCGACCAGGATCATATAGTAAGACGGTGTCTCAAGAAGACAGGAAAGAGGGTGGAGGGCATAGTTTAGTGTAGAGCCCTTCCTTGCGCTCAGGCTCCCGGATCATACAAGAAGTTCAGGAGAAAAATTAGAAGATGTAGGGAAAGGATGGAAAGCTCAGATGTAAGTGGGCCTCAGTGAATGGATACCCCACAACTGACATGCTCCCCTACAGGTGGGTACGTCACCTCATTACCTGCATTTTCAAGTACCAGACTCCAGGCCGGGCCTCCTCTGCCAGAGAGGAAGGTGAGTATATCATGGAGGTGGGGAGGGAGGTCCAAGCACCACAGGGTTCCTGTCTTTTCCAGGCTGGGTGCTGGGGCTCAAATCCCCAGGCTCGCTCTATGGTCCCCCAAACCCACTGCGGTTCTCCAACTCCCCACCCTAGATTGTTACAGTGAGACAGAAGCCGAAGACCCTGACGAGGAGGCTGGGTCCCGCTCAGTTTCTGTGAGTAGAGAGTCACTTCAGAGTAGGAGGTGGAGGCCCTGAATAGCAGGATGTGGGTATTCAGGCTAATCCTCTCTCTCCTGCTTTGACACAGCCCAGCCCGGCTCAAGCGTGGAGTGACACATCACCCCTGGCTTCACCCTCTCGGAGCCCGAGGACCTCCTTTGGTTCTTCAACAGGTGGGGCTGCCGTGGGAGCAGGGACCGGGACCGGGGATGAACCTGAGCATGCTTACATCTTCTCAACCTGCATCCTGCTTCCACAGACAGCAGTGACAGGGCGCTGGAAGGAATGGTCCAGGGGCTGAGGCAGGGCGGAGTGTCCCTCCTGGGCCAGCCACAGCCCCTGACCCATGAACAGTGGCGGAGTTCTTTCATGCGGCGCAACCGGGACCCACATCTCAACGAGCGGGTGCACCGAGTTCGGGCACTCCAGAGTACACTCAAGGTGAGCTGGGAGCCCTGGGCATGGGCAAGGATGAGGCTCTGGGCTTCAGGCCCTGGGGGTGTCTGGTTCCCAGCTCTGCTGTGAAACTGTAGACTGAAGGCTCAACTGTGTTCTGGGCCAAGTTCTAGAAGGTTCTAGACATTCACCCAGACTCTTGGGCCAGGGTATCCTGGGGGTGGGCGCAGGACTTAGGGTTAGTTCTGGGTTCTGTCCCTCGTTGGTTGGTCAGCCATGGATCTTTGCCTCCTTACTCTCACCTCAGGCAAAGCTGCAGGAACTGCAGGCCCTGGAGGAAGTGCTGGGTGACCCTGAGCTCACGGGAGCAAAGTTCCGCCAGTGGAAGGAACGGAACCTGGAGCTGTACTCAGAGGGCCTGAGGACCGGGGGAGGGATGTGGGCCCAGAGCAGTTCCCCAAACCCAACTTCTGTCTCCAGAGGTCAGTCCCCACAGCCCCTGCCCTCTGACCCGGAGGAGCCCTCCCAGCTTTTTGTCTTTGACCCCAAAGAACAGCCTCCAGCCTCCTGACCTCTGATTCCAGCTAGTGCCTGGCTCCTGACCTCTGACCCTGGCTGAGGACTACATCATTTCCCAGCCTGTGATGTGTTAAGACAAATGTCCAAGCAACCTGTGTGAGGCTAGAAGGAGTGCTGGTCCTTGGCTCTAACCCCCAAACTGACCTCCCGTATCCTGGGTTTTCACAGTTTCTGCTCATGTATCCCCGGAGTGGAAGGAAAGGCAGAAATCCCCAACCAGTCCTCAGATCTGGGAAGTGCCTGCCTTCCTTGGGTCCTTCATAAAGGTTTCCCCAGACCAGTTCTAGATGGGTATTTATTTTACATGAGGGATACTTTTCCACCAAATAAAGTTGATTTCTCTAAAATGAACCTGTGTGTCTTTGCTTCAGAACGGGGAATCTGTGCCTCCCGCCCCCACCCCTATCCCCACCTCCACCCTGCCAGCACACACAGAGGTGAAGAGACGTCGGGTTAGAGTGAACACTTTCTGTTGCAGAGTGGGTTGACAAGCTCCCTGTGTGGCCCTCTGGGCACCTGTACCAGGGTACCAGGCTCTGCCGACATCCATCCATCATCTTGCCCGCCTCTCCTTAGTCCTTAGAGCTCAAAAATGCTCCCCTATCCTAGAAGCATCAAGTAGATGAGGAAACATCACTTTGGAAAGGGCAGGTGGGCTGCTGTGGGACAGGAGGCAAAGGGTGTCAGGGCCTCTCTCTTGTCTTCCATTTCACTCAGCCCCACCTCTAGCACCTGGATTCAGAAAGAGAAGTTCTGTTCACTGTATTCAGATGATGACATGAAGACCAGGCCTATTTCCACCAGCCTCTAACCTCTGATCCCATCCCAAAGCCCTTGGCGGAATACCGGGTTGTCTCTGTGGGTGGGAGGATTTTCACCTGTTTGGAATGCCTCCATGGAACGCTGAAGGTGAGTGGGTAACAGCTGCCTCTGTGATCTCACCACAAGGTGGGAGAGAAAGACTGCCTGCAGCAAAGCTTCTCTGAAGAGAAGGGGGACAGAGCAAAGATGTCTGAAAGCCATAGATGGTGGGACCGGAAGACAACCACATATCTTAAGGTAGGGAGTTCCTGCCTGGCTCTGCCGCTGAGCCGAGCTGCCATCCTTGGCTGGGTGGGGGCAGCGGCCACACTGAAGGTTTGCTCCTCTCCTCCTCCGCAGAACACTTATGAGCTCATGGGTCGGCATGAGGAACAAGTGCTCATCAACCGCAGGGACATCACAGACAAGAGGGTAAGAAAGGAGGAGGGGAGGGACAGGCAAAGCCAAGATGACCTCCACCCCATAGGTCCCTTCTGCAGCTCTGTCCTCCCCCCAGGACCTTCCCTGGGAGCTAATGCCCACTGAGGCGATTCCTCACAGGAACCCCTATAACGTGATAGCCACTCATTAGCAGAGACCCTCCAGACCCCCCAGAAACCAGTAGTTGGTGAGCTCTGGCAACACACCCCCCTCTAGGCAGACCCCTTAGGTGTATTCCCACTCACAGGGAAGGCGGGGGGTCACTAGTCCAGGTGCAGGCCTCCTGTAGTGACACCTGCCTGAAGAAAGGTCTCCCTCCCTCCTCAGGATTCCTGGGACATGGAGGAGATCATCACTCGAATGTATGTCAAGCAGCTGCTCCGACACCCTGCCTTCCAGCTGCTGCTTGCCTTGCTGCTAATAATCAACGCCATTACCATCGCTATGCGCACCAATGCTTATCTTGGTCAGGTGGGATGCTGGCCTGATCTCTCCCCAGTGTGCTGCCTTCTAGGGCCCTTTGGCTTCTTGTCTGTGTGTGATGGTTGAATTGGTTGATTTTCAAAAGTCTGGTCCCCATCGGGGGCCTGGTGCAGCAAACCTTGAATCACCATGCTAAGGAGGCAGAGGCAGAGGCAGAGGCAGATGGATCTCTGTGAGCTAGAGGCCGGCCTTGTGTTCGCATCCAGTTCCAGGCTAGGCAGGGCTACATAGCGAAATTATGTTAAATAAATAACTTTCATCACTGTTGACCTGGCATGGGATCTGCAAGTCAAGAAAGTTCTTGGGCTTGAGGGACACACATAGGCACACACACACACTCACAGGCACGTACACACACAAAGACACACAGAGACACACAAACAAACACAGGCACACCATACATATGTACACGCATTCACTCACACACAGGCACACACACAAACATAGGCACATACACACAAACTCACACATTTATACACAGGCACACACACACACCATACATGTGGAAATTTTTTTTTTAGAGAAAGGAAAAAAACAGAATGTTACAGCTTGATTTGAGGCTTCCACAGAGGCTCCCAGCATTCAAGAAGCCAAGATAGGGGAATTGCCATGAGCTCAAGTCCAGTTTAGGTCGCATAAGTTTGAAGCCAGACTGGGCTTGATGACACCTATCTAAGAAAGGAAGGGAGGGAGGGAGGGAGGGAGGGGAGACTGGAAGATGAGGAGGAAGAGAAAAAGAAACAGCATGAGAGAATTTATTGTGTGTGTGTCCAACTTGAGAGCCAAGGCTTGCCATGTAGCCCAGGCTGCCCTCAAACTCACGGTAGTTTTTGCCTTTCCTTTGCAAGTGCTGAGGTTACAGCTGTGCACAATGATACTTGATGGATTTGTTTTGTTTTATGTTTTATTTATTTATCTAGTTAGTTTGGGACAGGATCTCACTATGTGGTCCAGCCTGGCCTCAAACATACAACTCTGCTGTCTCAAGCACCCAAGTGCTGGGATTACAGATATATGCCACCATGCCTGATGAGTTTTTATTTGTTTTTTTTTTTTGTTTGTTTGTTTGTTTGGTTTTTTTTTTTTTCCCAATTGGTTTGTTTTTAGACAGGACTCCACATAGCTCAAGAGGCCTTCCAACTCTTATCTCTCCCTCTCTCTCTCTCTCTCTCTCTATCTATCTATGGACAAATTTGAAAGCCTACAGCTTCCTCTAAGCTCCGTGTGTCACCACCCCTGGCAGTCTTAATTTCTTATGAGCTCTGAACACGCGCACATGCTGTTTAAATTCAGTATGTCCGGGTGGTGGTGACGCACGAGTTCAGAAATGTAGGCGGTCAGCGGCCACACCACATGTGGTCTACGTCCAGGGAGATAAGTCTGTATCCTGCACCACTGAGAAACCAGGAAAGGACTTAGACAGCACCGGGATGAAATGAAAGTTAGAGTTGAATTGAATTTTAGAGAATGCACTGACTGGGAGCTGGAGAGTGGCTCAGTGGTTAAGAGCACTGGCTGCTCCTGCAGAGGACCCGGGGTTTGGATTCTGGAACATTCATTACTCAGCTTACACTTGCCTGTGACACAAGTTCCAGGTCTCTCTTGGACTCCAAGGGCATCTGCATGAGTGCAGGGCACACAGAGACAAACTAGCATGCATGAGTGCACACACACACATGTACACGCCCACACATGCGCTCACACACATGTACACACACGCACACGCACATTTGTATTTTTTGGTTGTGAGCCTAGCCTTTAATGGCTGAGCCATCTCTCCAGCCCTGCACTTTTTATTATTATTATTATTATTATTATTATTATTATTTTTTTTTTTTTTTTTTTTTTTTAAGAAAAGAGCCAGGGTGTGGTAGTGCACGCCTTTAATCCCAGCACTCAGGAGGCAGAAACAGGTGAGTTTGAGGCCAGCCTGGTCTACAGAGTGAGTCCAGGACAGCCGAAGCTACAGAGAGAAACCCTGTGTTGAAAAACAAACAAGAAAGAAAGAAAAAAGAAAGGAAGGAAAGAAGGAAGGAAGGAGGAAAGGAAGGAAGGAAGGAAAGAAGGAAGGGAGGTAGGAAAGAAGGAAGGAAGGGAGGGAGGGAGGGAGGGAGGGAGGGAGGGAGGGAGGAAGGAAGGAAGGAAGGAAAAGGAAGAATAGAATAGAATCTCATAAAAGGCACAGGTTGCCACAGTGTGCACCACCAAGGAAGAGAGAAGATGGACCAAGATGGGTCAAAGATGTCCAGGGTTAGGATGCTGTGACCTGGACCAGGACAATGGCAATTGGTAAGAAGAGCCTCGGCATCACCTCCATCGGCTCTTCTATTTCCTCCTCGTGGTGCTTGGATTGAGCCTGTGTCCTACCCCACGGGCTTCTCTGATGAATCACATTGCTGGTTAACGCTTGGTGAACTCTTCCCACGTGCCGCCTTAGGCGTGAGGAAGGTGTAGGAAGGTGTGGCGTGAGCAACAGCGCAGGGCTGACTCTATGTCTTAGGACGTGGGGACACAGGAGAAAAAGGTTTGGAGAAGGATGTAGGGGTCACTTCAAGGCATTTGAGGAACTAGGAAGGGTCCACATGGGGCTACTAAAGAGGAGCTGATAGATCACGAAGACCGAGGGTACACTTGGCTGGAGATGGACACTTAAGAGAAGCTGGTGTCTAGAGGGTCAAGGCTGCATGGAGATGACAATCAGAGTGTGACTGAAGGCAAGAGAGGGCCAAGATAGGCTCCCGGTCAGAGGAGAGCATGGAGGAGGAGGAGATGGAAAGGCAACTGAGAAGGAGTGATCAGTAGCAAATACGGAAGCGCAAGAGAGTGACAGTCAAGGGAGCAGTCAACAGGGCCAGCATGGTGATAAACAGGACTGATGAAGTCGAAGAAGTATTCCCCCAAGTTCGTGCTCCTGGCCTCCCCTAGGGCCAGCTATCATGGAGGCAGGAACTCACCTATGTAGCTTGCACAGCGTGGACAGCGGAGGTCCTCACACAAGCCATTGTTGGGTTATAAAATTAATTCAGACTGCAGATGGCAGGACCCTGATAGTGAAATAGAGCTGGGGAGACAAAAGGAGAGAAAAGAGGGAGGAACAGGGGAGCAGCATTACAGTGTGTGTGTGTGTGTGTGTGTGTGTGTGTGTGTGTGTGTGTGTGCCGTAGCAAGAATGTGGAGGTCCAAGGACAATTGCAGGAATCACTCACTCCTTCCACTGGGGGATCCAACTGAGGTTGCCAGGCATGATGGCGAACACCTCTATTTACCAAGCCATCTTGCCAGTCCCTGAGGATCATGTTGTTACGTGTGAAAGACAGGTCCTATTATGGGTCTCAGTCAAAAAACAACCGCTCGAACTGGGGCTGAGGATGTAGTTCAGTTGGTAAATCAGAAATTCAAGGTCATCCTTGGCTACATAGTTTGAGGCCAGCCTGGGCTACATAAGAGTGCCTCAAACAACACAGTAAAACAGGAAAAAAAAAAAAAAAAAAAAAAAAAAAAAAAAAGAAAAGAAAAGAAAAGAAAGCCTGAAGCCCAACTATGGTGTTTGTGACTGTGAGGGTCAGACCTTAGGTGCTTGGAGGTGGCATAGCAGTGAGTGTGGACAGCGAGAGGCTCGCGGGAGGAATTGGAATCTGCTGGCTGCGGGGGTACAAAAAGGAAGGACTGGTGACTGGCTGGCTGGGGTTAACTTCCTGGACTGGAGTTGTTTCTGTATGTGTGATACGGGGAAGGGGCATCGCAGCTATAAGGAAGCTGAATGAACCTGATTGCGGTTGGGCAGGAGTGACTTTGGTTCGGGACAGACCCTAGCTATCCATCTACTGATGGAGGCACCCAGGGTACGTGTCCTGGATCTACAGAGAGAGGACACCTCAGACCTGACCCAGAGAACTTGAGATGCTCGAGCCAGAGGGACAGTAGGGACCAGACTACCAGAGAAGTTTCCTGGGGTTTGGAGTCCCGCAGCTCCTGGGGAGGCATGCCTCTTTCTTTCAGTCCCAGGGCCCATTCAGCCCTTTCTAAACTTCCCTTTCCCAGGTAGCCTGCTTTAGAGGTTAGGCATGAATGCTAGCCAGCTGTGTGCACCTGGCCTCCTAATTGCCAGTTTGTAAGGTGCCACAGAAAAGGAAACTACTTTTCAAAACAATGTTGAGAGTCATGTGACCTGAATGGACTTGACACTGCCTGGCATATGCAGAGAAAGTTCCCCTAAAGGAAACCATAGAGAGTAGCCGGGGTACCGTCACCCCAACGCCTACCCTCTCTCCAAGTCTGACTCAGGTCCCGCTCTCTGATGCCTCTGGCCCTTTTTCCCCTCCTCTGTCTTCCGTGTAGAAACATTATGAGCTGTTCTCGACCATAGATGACATTGTGCTGACCATCCTTATGTGTGAAGTTCTCCTTGGCTGGCTCAATGGCTTCTGGATTTTCTGGAAGGTAAGACCCGGGAATTCCTGCCATTGCCCTTACCTCAGCCCTCAGTGGTGTCTGCAGTACGTCAAAGCCTTTGCCTTGCAAACTAAAGGGTTTGTAGGGAGAGACAGTATATCCGTGGGGAGGGGGGACAGCAGAATATGAGTTGTCCAGCAGTACCTCCTCCACGAGTTTCAACCCCTGCTCCTGCCTCCCCAGCTCTCTCCACTTACACAGACCCTGGTTTCTGTATCTGGGAAATGGAGTCGAGGAATTGAGAGTATCTACCTTCATTTGCTTGGTTTTGGCTCAGGACCCCACGAACTTCTCCTGTAATGCAGTGATTTGTATGTTAAGCTTTATAGGCTCTAGGCCCAACTCACCTTTCTCAGGCAGGACAAAACCAAGCCAGCCAAGACACAGATGAACTACATCCCAGCATAGCCCACCCTCCCCCAGTGAGGAGTGTGGATAAAGCGTTTGTTGGTTTGTTAGAGGATCTTACTATTGCCAGGCTGACCCCCAAATCCCTGCACTCTAGCCATACTCCTGCCTCAGCCTCCCAATTAGCTGGGACTCGGGATTGTCTCCAGTCCAGTAAGACTTCGCTTGTGCCTGTACAGAAACACACACTTACAATCCCAGTTGTCAGGAGCCTGTGGTAGAAGCATCGTGAGTTCAAGGCCTGCCTGGGCTGGGTAGTAGGACATTGTCTCCAGAACACAAAACAGGGCAATTTGAGTGTTACGTAATTTTCACATTTCACAAACCACTCTTCTGATTTTTCCCTCCTCCGTCGCTTTAACGTCACATACTGACTCCTCAGGATGTCCTCAGGAAGTCTCTCCCAGGAGGGGCTGTGCTACCCTGGGTCTGCTTCCTAGTTTCTACTTCTCTCTCTGGCAGAGCTGAAGTATGCTCTTTGCCCACCTCCCTCAAAAGGGTCTGTGAACCAGCAGGGTGAAACCGGGTATCCTCACAAAATAAGTCAATAATAAGTATACAGCAGGAGCTTCGTAGACCAGCCGGCTTGGCTGGGCTTTGGTTTTGACTCCTAGTACTGAGAACAGAACCAAGGCTCTCACTCTTATCAGGTGTCTCAGTCAGTGTTCTTTTGCCGAGAAGAGACACCCTGGCTAAGGCCCTTATAAAAGAAAGTATCTATTGGGTGCTTGTTTACAGCATCAGAGGTTTAGTGTATTATCATCATGACAGGAAGCATGGCAGTAGGCAGGCAGGCAGGCAGGTACTGGGGCAGTAGCTAAGAGCTTTACATCCTAATCCACAAGCAGTAGGCAGGGGAGGGGAGGGAGGGAGGGAGGGAGAGGGAGAGGGAGAGAGAGAGAGAGAGAGAGAGAGAGAGAGAGAGAGAGAGAGAGACTGAGCCTGGCTTTTAAAACCTTAAAGCCCACTCCCAGTGACATACCTCCTCCACCAAGGCCACACCTCCTAGTCCTTCCCAGCTGTTCCGCTCCCTGGTGACCAAGTATTCAAATACGTTAACCAGTGGGGCCCACTCTCATTCAAACCTCCACACTGGGCTTGCTTACTCATCCACCGAGTTATTTTCTGGTCTTCTTCTTTTGTTTTTGTTTTTATCCAAGAGAGGGTTTGGCTGTGTAGCCCTGGCTGTCCTGGAACTCACTCTGTAGACCAGGCTGGCCTCAAACTCAGAGATCCGCCTGCCTCTGCTCCTGAGTGCTGTATTAAAGGCGTGCGCCACCTCTGCCTGTCCCCTGTCCCTGTTTTTACTTTGAGACAAGGCCACACTGAGTTTCCCAGGATGTCCCCGAGCTTACTTTGTAGCCTGGAGAAGCCTTGAGCCTGGGAGCCCACCTTAGTGTCCTGAGTGGCTGGGAATACAGGCCTGGGTTCCACAGAGGGGCAGACCTGTGCCCCTCACAACCGTGTGTGTGTGTGGTGTGTAGCCCAGACTCTCAGACGTGAGGCAGACTTATGTTTATTGCACTCCCCCCAAATTTAAGAACATCTTCCACTAAAATATAGGGCTTTGTTTGTTTGTTCTGTCTGCTTGTTTAACGTTTAGCTTCAGGCACATTGACCCAGACTCTATTGAGAAGCACTCAGAGTCCTGGATCTGCTCCAATCCCTCACCCCCTTACCTTCCCTCACCTCTTTAGGTAATCTTCTTAGAGCCCCTGTTTATCTTTTCAGCGGCTGTCTTTATAATCCTAGGCAATAGGCGTGTATTTTTAGTGCTCCCATTTAGTAGCCTGCCATAAACAACGCTTTGGGTTTAGTTGTTGGTGCTTATGGAATCCTAGAAATCTTTCCATATTACTGCATGATGGATGTACAATGGCTTATTCTGCCTCTCATTGCTGGTCACGATAGTTGTTTTCAGCCTATTCTCAATCTATCATCTATCTATCTATCTATCTATCTATCTATCTATCTATCTATCTATC